TTTTTTTTGAGACGGAGTTTCGCTCTTGTTACCCAGGCTGGAGTGCAGTGGTGCGATCTCGGCTCACCGCAACCTCCGCCTCCTGGGCTCAGGCAATTCTCCTGCCTCAGCCTCCTGAGCAGCTGGGACTACAGGCACGCACCACCATGCCCAGCTAATTTTTTTTTTGTATTTTTAGTAGAGACGGGGTTTCACCATGTTGGCCAGGATGGTCTCGATCTCTTGACCTCGTGATCCACCCGCCTCGGCCTCCCAAAGTGCTGGGATTACAGGCTTGAGCCACCGCGCCCGGCGTCAACTTTTTTTTATGATGACAATAATATTTTGAGTTTATGTTAAAAAAAATGCTTATTAGTATACGTTATAAAATTAACAGGGCAGTGTCAAAGTAGATTAAAGTTACATAAACTCTGGGATGTAAGTTTTTAGGTAAGCTTAGGAAAAACAGAACTGGAAATACCCCAGAGGCATAGAGATCAAATTCTACCTACCGTCTTCTCCCTGCCCCAGCTCTGATCAGATTCACCCTTTTCGGAGGCCTTATTTAGGTCTGGCCTCACTCTGGAGTCTTTCCTTACAAAACTGATGTATAAAGATTCAAGTTTTGGCTGGTAAATTATGCTGATTTTTTACAGCTGGTGCTCACGATATCCTGAAACCCAAAAGCAGATACATAAGAAAAATAAACCATATAGCTTAAAATCTTAATTTTTAAATTTTATAGTAAAACCAGTGCTTACAGAAACATTCCATTTGGCGGCTTTTCTATTCCTGTAGATCCAGTAGTTGCTGCACAAGTTACAAACAAGTAAATATAAACACAAAAAAATTCTCTAAACTATATTAAACTCTTTCTGTGTCTGTATTTTCTTATTTATCTCCATCTGTCTATATTTAGCTTTTAGTCTACATATTTTTAGGAAAATCAATGACAGAGAAACAAAGGAAGAAATACTAATTCTGAGCCCTTTATCTAAATCCTGGGAATTATTGAACACTTACTGTGAACCATCAAGGTATTATTAGGATTTAATCACATAATATGTTATTCCCAGCATAGTGCTGTGTGGGGGAAAAAAAAAAATCTGCCAAATATCTTCAGTTTATTGTACACATTGAAACTTGAGAGGTGCCTTCTAACTCAACATTTTTTTTGTCTGGAAAATATGCACAATTCATTCTTTGTGATGCAAATATAGCACTCAAAAGTACCATATACACTGGTTTTGTGGATCTTATACAATTCTCTCAGAGTTAGAGAATACATCAGAGAATATTTCTGTGTTGAAAATTATTGAATAATTTCAGTCATTCCTACAAGTCAAAACCAATTTTCTTTTTTTTTTTTTTTTTTTTTGAGACGGAGTTTCACTCATGTTACCCAGGCTGGAGTGCAATGGCACGATCTCAGCTCACCGCAACCTCCGCCTCCTGGGTTCAGGCAATTCTTCTGCCTCAGCCTCCTGAGTAGCTGGGATTACAGGCACGCGCCACCATGCCCAGCTAATGTTTTGTATTTTTAGTAGAGACGGGGTTTCACCATGTTGACCAGGATGGTTTCGATCTCTTGACCTCGTGATCCACCCGCCTCGGCCTCCCAAAGTGCTGGGATTACAGGCTTGAGCCACTGCGCCCGGCCCCAATTTTCTTTACTCTTGTTTAACCTTAATTCAAATGATAAATTCTGGCCCCGGACATTTGTAAATATGTGTGTGTTTGTGTGTGTGTTTCAGGGGCCGTTGACATTTAGAGATGTGGCCATCGAATTCTCTCTGGAGGAGTGGCAGTGCCTGAACCCTGCTCAGCAAGATTTGTATAGAAAAGTGATGTTAGAGAACTACAGAAACCTGGTCTTCTTGGGTGAGAGTAACTTTAATACACAATTCCTTACGTATCCTAAAGATTTCATTTCTCTATAGAATAATTTTTGGTAATTTATGCTTTGTATAATGAGTTTCTGATCCCTGTTTTCAAGAAATCTTGAGGAATTGTTCACATAGAAAAAACTTTTCTTCAAGATGTTGTATTTTGGCCTGAACTTTACATTCCTGAGCTGGTCTGTATCCTTCACTCTAGAGTAGTGGTAACTTCAGAAATTTAGTGGTATAAAATATTGTTGCTCCTATGTTAAAATCGATTTGCCACCACTAATTTTTGACTCATGAGTACAGGATAGTGAAATTAAGGACCTACAAATTTAAAATATTTTCTAAATGTTAAGAACTTTCTGTCGTTAAGTAGTATTTTGGGATTAATTGTTTAGAATATTCTATGACATTCTCTTTACTAAGCACGGTACTAGGTTTGTAATTAGAGAATATGAGTAAGATTCATGTTATTTATTTTTAATAAAGCAGGTCTTGCTGTCTCTACGCCAGATTGGATCACCTGTCTGGAGCAAGGAAAAGATCCCTGGAATATGAAGAGACACAGTATGGTAGCCACACCCCCAGGTAGGTGAGAATGAATAAAACAGTTGAGGTAGATGAAAGGTTGGGAGATTAGAAAAAAAAAAAAAGCCAGTCCCTACAATGTGTTTTGGGAAGCCTGAGGTGTTTAAGCGCTTGTTTTATTGTTCTTACATACGCCCACCTTGTGTCTTCCGCTTTTACATTCTCTAAGGATTTTACTTTCCCTTCATTGATCTTCCTTCAAGTTTACAGTGAGAGCCAAAGTTCTCTTCGTAACATATGAGACTGCACAATCTGAATGCTTTTTCATTGTTTTGAGAAACACGCAGATATCTGCATTATTTTGAGAAACTTTATATTAAACTATTCTTTTAGTTCTCTTTTTGCATCATGTCTAAAATGCATGAGAGTAGTGGTCTCCAAGAGTGCAGTGGTGCAATCTCAGCTCACCGCAACCTTTGCCTCCTGGGTTCAGGTGATTCTTCTGCCTCAGACTCCCAGGTAGCTGGTATTACAGGCATGTGCCCTGACGCCCGGCTAATGTATTTTTAGTAGAGAGGGGTTTTTCCATGTCGGTCAGGTTGGTCTCGAACTCCTGACCTCAGGTGATCCACCCACCTCAACGTCCCAAATTGCTGGGATTACAGTCATGAGCCACTGTGCCTGGCCTCTTTTGGTTTTTTTTTTTTTTTTTTGAGACGGAGTTTCACTTTTGTTACCCAGGCTGGAGTGCAATGGCGCGATCTCGGCTCACCGCAACCTCCGCCTCCCGGGTTCAGGCAATTCTCCTACCTCAACCTCCTGAGTAGCTGGGATTATAGGCACGCGCCACCATGCCCAGCTAATGTTTTATATTTTTAGTAGAGACAGTGTTTCACCATGTTGACCAGGATGGCCTCGATCTCTTGACCTCGTTATCTACCCGCCTCAGCCTCCCAAAGTACTGGGATTACAGGTTTGAGCCACCGCGCCCGGCCTCCTTTGGTTTTTATGTTAATTTTCTGCATGTTCTATCCTGTTTTTATTGCTATATTCTTGAAATATAGTTTGAAATTGTAAAATATGATGTCTCTGGGCTTTGTTCTTTTTCTTCAGGATTGCTTTGGCTATTTGAGGTTTATTGTAGTTCCTTGTAAATTTTAGAATTGTATTTTTTATTACTGTAAACAAAAAATGCCACTGGAATTTTGATAGGAAGTTTGTTGAATCTATAGATTATTTTAGGGAAGATTGTACTTTAACAATGTTTATTCTTTCAATCCATAAATATGAGTTTTTTTTTTTCTTTTTTGTTTGAGACAGAGTTTTGCTGTTTTCACCAAGGCTGGAGTGCAGTGGTGCGATCTCTGCTCACTGCAACCTCCTGGTTCAAGCGATTCTCCCGCCTCAGCCTCCCGAGTAGCTGAGATCACAGGTATCCTCCACCATCCTCGGCTATGTTTTTGTATTTTTAGTAGAGACGAGGTTTCACCATGTTGGCCAGGCTGGTCTTGAACTCCGGACTTCAGGCAATCCACCCACCTCAGCCTCCCAAAATGCTGGGATTACAGGGGTGAGCCACCATGCCCAGCCTCTTTTATTGATTTATATATTTCATTGTAAAGATTTTTTTGCCTCTGGTTAAATTCTTAGAAATTCATTATTTAATTATATATATATATATATATATATATATATATATATATATATTTTTTTTTTTTTTTTTTTTTTTTTTTTGCGACGGCGTTTCGCTCTTGTTTCCCAGGCTGGAGTGCAATGGCGCAATCTCGGCTCACTGCAACCTCCGCCTCCTGGGTTCAGGCAATTCTCCTGCCTCAGCCTCCAGAGCAGCTGGGATTACAGGCACGCGCCACCATGCCCAGCTAATTTTTTGTAGCTTTAGTAGAGATGGGGTTTCACCGTGTTGACCAGGATGGTCTCGATCTCTTGACCTCGTGATCCACCCGCCTCGGCCTCCCAAAGTGCTGGGATTACAGGCTTGAGCCACCGCGCCCAGCCTTAATTATATTTTTAAAAGGATTGTTTTCTTAGCTGGCATGGTGGCTCAGGCCTGTAATTTCAGCACTTTTGGAGGCCAGGGCAGGTAGATCACTTGAGTTCAGGAGTTCAAGACCAGTCAGGCCTATATGGTCTCTACTGAAAATATAAAAATGTAGCCAGGTGTGGTTGCCTGCACCTGTAATCCCAGCTACTCGGGAGTCTGAAGAAGGAGAATTGCTTGAACTTGGGAGGTAGAGGTTCCAGTGAGCCTAGATCGCACCGTTGTATTCCAGCCTGAGCCACAGAGCAAGACTGTCTCAAAAAAAAAAAAACAAACAAAAGACTTTATATCTGATAGCTTGTTTAAAGTGTATAAGACAATAACATACTTTTATGGTAATTTTATATTTTGTTAATATATATATTTATTTAATATATATAATATATTTTGTTAATATAATAAATACCGAGTGTATTTATTAGTTTAGCCAAATTTCAATGTACCGTCTGGTCTTTTATGTATAAGATTATTCTAGAAACAGCAACATTTTACTTATTTGTCTTCACTTTCTTTTTTTTTTTTTTTTTTGAGACGGAGTTTCACTCATGTTACCCAGGCTGGAGTGCAATGGCGTGATCTCGGCTCACCGCAACCTCCGCCTCCTGGGTTCAGGCAATTCTCCTGCCTCAGCCTCCTGAGTAGCTGGGATTACAGGCATGCACCACCGTGCCCAGCTAATGTTTTGTATTTTTAGTAGAGATGGGGTTTCACCATGTTGACCAGGATGGCCTCGATCTCTTGACCTCATGGTCCACCCGCCTCGGCCTCCCAAAGTGCTGGGATTACAGGCTTGAGCCACCGCGCCCGGCCTTGTCTTCACTTTCAATGGCTTTTTAAAATATTTTCTTTTTTTTTATTTTTGCCACCACCCCCACCCCCCAAAAATGTTTTTTATTCATTATTCTGCAATATATTTCCAGTGTTATGTTAAAACAGAAGCATTGACAGTGGGCACAGTATAGTTTTATATTGGTGTCTGTGAATTTGAAAAAGCAAACAACTACTCAAGTTTTCATAAACTGATTTGAGGAAATAAAGATCTTCTCTTGTTGGCTTCCCAGGGTTCTGAATTGCCCTCTGGGTTTGTAGTGGAGGGTGGTTGTAACTTAGTCATAAGGCTTCTGCGTCTGCACTAGGGTCCACATTTAGTTGGCCTTCTTTTGGAGCGGGGTGAGGATAGAGTCTCAATCTGTTGCCCAGGCTGGAATGCAGTGGCATGATCTTGGCTCACTGCAACCTCCGCGTCCTAGGTTCAAGTGATTATCAGCCTCCTGAGTAGCTGGGATTGCAGGTGTGTGCCACCATGCCCAGCTAATTTTTGTATTTTTAGTAGAGATGGGGTTTTACCATGTTGGTCAGGCTGTTCTCAAACTCCTGACCTTGTGACCCTTGGCCTTTCAGAATGCTGGGATTATAAGCGTAAGCCACTGTACCCAGCCTTATTGGGGATACAGTGGCTTATTACAAGGGGCTTAGGTAGTTGTAATTTTCAGTTTTTTTTTTTTTTTGACAAATTATCCTAATGGCTTTCATCTGTGGAGCAGATACTAGGATAGGTTTCTTCAGTTAGGTCCATATAAAATGGCCCTTATATTAGAATGTAAATTAATATGGCTTTCACTGGATACCAGAGACTTCTACAGGTCACTGTAGAAGTATACTGCCCCCCTTCGACATGGGCCACCCACCAAGGGGCCCTGCCTTGGTCTCCCTTTCTTTCTTTTCTCAGGGTTTTTCTATGTTGCCCAGGCTAATTTCAAACTCCTGGCCTCAAGCAATCCTATCTCAGCCTCCGAAAATGCCACTATTACAGGTTTGAGCCACTGCACTCAGCCTGTGTGATTTATTTTTATTTATTCTTAGATTTGCCACTTTTGATTTAAATTTTTAGTTTCATTCAGTTTTGGTAAGAATACACACAGTGTATTTTTTTGGAATTATATTTATTTGTTGTTGTCATTTTGAGACAGGATCAAACTTGTCACCCAGGATATAGTGGCATAATTTTGGCTCACTGCAACCTCAGCCTCCTTCATTCAAATGATCTTCCTATCTAAGCCTCCCAAGTAGCTGAGACTACAGACACGCACAACGATGCCTGGATAATTTTTTTATTATTTGTAGTGCAGGATCTCACTATGTTATCCAGGCTGGTCTCAAACTTCTTGTTCCAAGTGATTCTTTCACTTTCGTCTTCCAAATTGTTAGGATTATAGGTATTAGCCACTACCCCCAGCTGGTATTCTTCAAAAGACTTGTTATATTTTCTAACAGAATACATCAGGTGCAAATAAGAATATTGTGTATTCTTTTGCTTTTAAGTGGAAAATTGTGCACACGTCTGTTAACCCTAGTTTGTCTATGGTATGGTTTGGATGTCCATGTTCTGCAAACCTGATGCTGCAATGTAACACTAAGTTGGATGTGGAACCTGGTGGGAGGTGTTTAGGTCATAAGGGCAACTTCATCATAAATGCCTTCTCACCGTCTTTTTGGTAATCAGAAAGTTTTCACTTTAGGCCGGGCGCGGTGGCTCAAGCCTGTAATCCCAGCACTTTGGGAGGCCGAGGCGGGCGGATCACGAGGTCAAGAGATCGAGACCATCCTGGTCAACACGGTGAAACCCCGTCTCTACTAAAAATACAAAACATTAGCTGGGCATGGTGGCGCGTGCCTGTAATCCCAGCTACTCAGGAAGCTGAGGCAGGAGAATTGCCTGAACCCAGGAGGCGGAGGTTGCGGTGAGCCGAGATCGCGCCATTGCACTCCAGCCTGGGTAACAAGAGCGAAACTCCGTCCCAAGAAAAAAAAAAAAAAAAAGAAAGTTTTCACTTTATTAATTCAAATAAGAGCGGTTCATTAAAAGAACCTGGCTTCTTCATCTCACACTTGCTGTAATCCCAGCACTTTGGGAGGCTGAGGCGAGTAGATCACAAGGTCAGGAGTTCAAGACCAGCCTGGCCAACATGGTGAAACCCCATCTCTACTAAAGATATAAAAA